GCCAGTATAAAATTACCCGCCATATAAAATGACCCGCATAATAATTTAACTGCAGTGTATTTTACCTGTTGTATAAACGACTCCGTCTTATAATTCTACCCAGCTGTATAATTATTAACTTGTCCTGTAAATGACCCATCGTGCAGTATAAATGGACCTGTATAAATGACTCGCCATATTAGTAGAACTGTTGTGTATATGAATGATCCGTTGTATAACTGACCTTCGCCATATGAATGACCCGCAGTTATAAATGACCGGTGCTTCTTCCATGTTGACCTTAACAAGTTTAGTAATACTAACTGTAAAAATATCAGCTGTAAATATGGTAGGTCCAGAGTTTCCCGCAAACTTTGAATTTCAGATTTAATTTTAAGCTTGTTTTCATTTTCCAGAGAGTCTCAGTATAAGGATCAACCAACTCAGTGACATGTTAGTACAAAAACCCGTGCTCTTCACAACAGCAGAAGAACTTCCTTGAAGAGGCACAGCCATGCTGGAATTTGTAGGAGCCCCTGGAGATGGGAAGACTACTGCTGCTCTCAGAATCTGTGAAACGTATATGAAGAAAAACTATCAAGCATTGTTTGTTGAAAAATATTGAAGAGTTTGACATTGATGTCGTCATTAAGCGAAAGTGTGACATGTTAGCCAGGGTTTGATGATATCTTTAGTTCTTGTCGCTTTTTCCTAGCAGCTTGGAGAAATTACGTAAAGCGTTCAATGCCTTGGTTGATATTTTACTTCGCCTTTACAAGAGACGAGGAGCCAGCAGACGAGGAAGAAAGAAAGAAGAAAAGTGAAGAAAAGTGTGATGAAGAAGGAAGATGAGAAGCAATGTGATGATGAAACGACAAAAATGCAACTACAAACTCCGCTTCATTTTCACATCCAGGAACTACAACTGGAATGCGGGTTGTGAAAGACTACATCAGTTCAAAGTAAATCTCTTTAAACCCTGAAACCATTGTTGATATGATCACAAGACATGTTTAACCATTGAAGAAAAAGAAACAGATCATCATGACATTGTTCAGGACCAGAAGCCAAATCTGCAGCATCTCCGGATAAGCGATTATGAAAACTATTACAGAGTTAAAAGACAGCATGTTTGATATCCTTTTGACCTGTAAACTGTAATTTCACCAACCCAGTGTTCCAGATGCACAGTCTTGGGGACTTTTACCTGAAACCAGTGACATACCTGAGAGGTGACCTTGACACCATTGTGTCCGTGAAGGCAGCAGCAGATCGGCTGCTCTGGTTCTCCTGGTCCTGTGTGGAGGGAAACTGACCTTGCCTCTTTGATGTAGGACAGCACAAGAAGGTCAAAGATCTGTTTTCATGTTGTAAAGGAGAAAGTAGCACCATGCACAGATACAGACATAGAAAAAGAGATAAGCAATTTTACCGGCACCTACTGTGTCGTGGAGAATCATGTAGCCTCCTTTCACATCCAGCCATCCATGATGCTTCAGCATGTGCTTTTGAATCTCAACAGTGTTTTATTAGTAAAAACACTGTTCCCTTCAGTTTTTGTATGAAAGAGTAAGACCATGCATGACTGATGCTCGATAGACAACCCAAGCTGATGATGTGACAAACATGATCTACATTACTTCCCGTCTTTTTACTCATTGATCATCAACAGGTTAGTGGAAGGTATCAGCGAAGACTGCTTCAGATGGACAGTAAGCTACCCTGTATTCCGAAACGATGAATTAGCATCCTCACTGATGATGGAACTGGCAAATAACTTGCCTGACATAGTCCACCGAAAGGACCGCACATCTGGTGAATGTTTTCTATACTGGATTTCACTGTCTAATAATGATTTTACCGTTTAGACAGTCACTATTACTTTATAAGTAAGAAGGCACCTTTCCGAAAATGTCAAAGACCTGTATGACAGTATCACAGGTTGTATAAAGGCTGGCAAGGTGGGGGAATCTGCAACGTATTGTTGATGTGCTAAAGCATCATGGAGAATATCATGCAGACCTGGCGGGTCGCGGCAGACAAAAACACTGCTCATAATTGCTGCAGAGGCTGGACAGTTGATGTGTCTCAACTTTCTACTGAAAAGAAGGAGCAAATGTGTCAGTGAAGGACAGGAAAGCGAAACAGTTGCCTTCATCATGCATGTATTTCAGGAAAAGAGACATTGTGAAAGTTGTTGTTAAAAAGTTTCCACTTATGATTGATGATTGAATGATGAGGGTTCTCACATCTACAATGTTGTGTACTGAGAAAGGCCAGGAGGAGATCCTCAAGTTCCTGGTGTCACATGATGCTTCTCTCTCTGTGAAGACATTTGGAGGTCAGACTTGTTTACATGTGGCATGTGCGAGTGGTCATTTATCAACTGTCCAATATTTGTTGTCTTGTGAAATTATCAACATTAATGAAAGAACAGTTTCAAACAAAACGCCGATTATGATTAAGCTGCTGAAAAGGGGCACTCTGATGTTTATCACCTTCTTGTGTCAGAGGGAGCCGATGTGTCACTTTACTAAATGACAAGGACAGAGACAGTCTAATGTATGCAAGTATGGAGGTAACATGTCTATTGTAAAAGCACCTACTATCGCTTGAAAAATCATTCAAAATCAACAGGAGAGATTGCTACAACTGTACACCAGTCATAATGGCAGCCAAAGCTGCACACTCTGATGTTTACCATCTCCTTGTGCCAGAGGGAGCTGATCTGTCATTTGCTGATGACAAGGGAAGAGACTGTCTGATGTATGCATGTGAGACAGGTAACATGTCTCTAGTTAGGCACCAGATGTCTTTAAACAGAATCAACATCAACAGAAGAGATAACGACGGCATGACACCAGTACTGATAACAGCTAAAAGCTGGACACTTTGATGTTTATCACCTTCTCGTGTCAGAGGGAGCTGATGTGTCACTTACTGATGACATGGGCGGAGACTGTCTGATGTATGCATGTGATGGAGGTAACATGTCTATTGCTAGGCACCTACTATCTTTGAAAATAATGAACATAAACAGAACATATTGCAACATTTGGACACCAATAATGATGGCAGCTATAGCCGGACACTCTGATATTTATCACCTTCTTTGTGTCAGAGGGAGCTGATGTGTCCCTCAGTGATAACATGGGCAGAGACTGTCTGATGTATGCATGTGAGAGAGGTAACATGTCTATCGTTAGGCATCAACTATCTTTGAAAACAATCAAAATCAACAGGAGAGATCACGACAGCATGGCTCCCGCCATGGTAGCAGCTAAAGCCGGACACTCTGATATTTATCACCTTCTTGTGTCAGAGGGAGCTGATGTGTCTCCCTCAGTGATAACAAGGGCAGAGACTGCTTGATGTATGCATGTGAGAGGTAACATGTCTATCGTTAGGCATCAACTATCTTTGAAAACAATCAACATCAACAGGAGAGATCATGACGACATGACACCAGTCATGATAGCAGCTAAAGCTGGACACTCTGATGTTTTTCACCTTCTTGTGTCAGAGGAAGCTGATCTGTCCCTCAGTGATAACAAGGGAAGAGATTGCCTGATGTACGCATGTGAAAGAGGTAACATGTCTATAGTTAGGCATCAAATGTCTTTAAACAGAATCAACATCAACAGGAGAGATCACGACGGCATGACATCAGTACTGATAACAGCTAAAGCTGACACTCTGATGTTTATCACCTTCTTGAGCCAGAGGGAGCTGATCTGTCACTTACTGATGACATGGGCAGAGACTCTCTGATGTATGCATGTGATGGAGGTAACATGTCAATAGTTAGACACCTACTATCTTTGAAAACAATCAACATCAACAGGAGATCATCACTTCAACCGTACACCCGCCATGATGGCAGTTGAAGCAGGACACTCTGATGTTTATCACCTTCTGTGTCAGAGGGAGCTGATCTGTCACTTACTGATAAAACAGGCGGAGACTGTCTGGTGTATGCATGTCAGAGAGGTAATGTGTCTGTACTTAGACACTTTACTATCTTTGAACAAAATCAACATGCAAACAGAAGAGATCACGACGACATGACACCAGCAATGATAGCAGCTTTAGCCGGACACTCTGAAGTTTGTCACCTACTTGTGTCAGGGGAGCTGATCTGTCACTTACTGATGACATGGGCAGAGACTGTCTGATGTATGCTTGTATGATAGGTAACATGTCTATAGTTAGGCACCTACTACCTTTGAAGAAAAACAAGATCAACATTGCAGATCACTTCAACTGTACAGCAGTCATGATAAGCGGCTAAAGCAGAAGGTTCTGATGTTTATCACCTTCTTGTGTCTGAGGGAGCTGATGTGTCACTTACTGATGACAAGGACAGAGACTGTCTGATGTGGGCGTGTGAGAGAGGTAACATGTCTATCGTTAGGCACCTACTATCTTTGAAAACAATCAACATCAACAGGAGAGATCATGACAACATGACTCCAGTCATGATAGCAGCTGGAACGAGACACGCTGATGTTTATCACCTTCTTGTGTCAGAGGGAGCTGATGTGTCCCTTACTGATAACAAGGGCAGGGACTGTCTGATGTATGCATGTGAAAGAGGTAATGTGTCTGTAGTTAGGCACCTACTGTCTTTGAAAACAATCAACATCAACAGGAGAGATCACTACGACATGACACCAGTCATGATGTCAGCTGGAAATAGACACGCTGATGTTTATCACCTTCTTGTGTCAAAGGGAGCTGATGTGTCATTTAGTGATAACATGGGCAGGGACTGTCTGATGTATGCATGTGAGAGACGTAACGTGTCTATAGTTAGGCACCTACTATCTTTGAAAAGAAACAACATCAACAGCAGAGATCGATGCAACTGTACACCAGTCGCAATAGCAGCTAAAGCCGGACAATCTGATGTTTATCACCTTCTTGTGTCTGAGGGAGCTGATCTGTCACTTACTGATGACATGGGCAGGGACTGTCTGATGTATGCATGTGAGAGAGGTAGCATGTCTATAGTAAGGCACCTACTATCTTTGAAATCAATCAACATCAACAGGAGAGATCGCTGGAACAAAACACCAGTCATGGTAGCAGTTCAAGCCGGACGCTCTGATGTTTACCAACTGCTTGTGTCAGAGGAAGCTGATCTGTCACTTACTGATAACAATGGAAGAGACTGTCTGATGTATGCATGTAATGGAGATGATATGTCTAAATGGCTCCCAAGAACCTCAGGTAACATGTCTATAGTTAGACACCTACTATCTTTGAAAACAATCAACATCAACAGGAGAGATCACTGGAACAAAACACCAGTCATGGTAGCAGCTCAAGCAGGACGTTCTGATGTTTATCACCTTCTTGTGTCTGAGGGAGCTGATGTGTCACTTACTGATGACAAGGACAGAGACTGTCTGATGTGGGCGTGTGAGAGAGGTAACATGTCTATAGTTAGACACCTACTATCTTTGAAAACAATCAACATCAACAGGAGAGATCACTGGAACAAAACACCAGTCATGGTAGCAGTTCAAGCCGGACGCTCTGATGTTTACCAACTGCTTGTGTCAGAGGAAGCTGATCTGTCACTTACTGATAACAAGGGCAGAGACTGCATGATACATGCATGTGAGAAAGGTAACATGTCTATAGTTAGACATCTACTATCTTTGAAAACAATCAACATCAACAGGAGAGATTGCAACAACATGACACCTGCCATGATTGCAGCTATAGCTGGACATTCTGACGTTTATCGCCTACTTGTGTCTGAGGGAGCTGAACTGTAACTTACTGATGATATGGGCAGAGACCATCGTTAGGCACCTACTATCTTTGAAAACAATCAACATCAACAGGAGATATTTCAACATTTGGACACCAGTAATGATTGCATCTTAAGCTGGACACTCCGGTGTTTATCACCTTCTTGTGTCGGGGAGCTGATGTGTCACTTACTGATGACAGAGGCAGACCCTGGTCTGATGTGTACATTTAGGGGAGGTAACATGTCTATAGTTAGGCACTAACTATCTTTGAAAACAATCAAAATCAACAGGAGAGATAGCAACAACTGGACACCCAGTCATGGTGGCAGTTAATGGTGGACACTCTGATGTTTATTGCCTTCTTAGGTTAGAGGGAGCTGATGTGTCACTTACTGATATCTGGGGCAGAGACTGCTGAAATGTAATGAACAGGAACGGAAACTTGGTCTTCACATAAAATAATCTCCAAAGGAATCAAGAATGTCCAGATTAGGAAAAACGTGATTTTCAGTAGCGACTCTCTATACATTTGATAATGTGATTATTTGTATCCTGAGATTATACAATGATGTGGGCAATTCCAGTAATTCTGCAATGAACCAATCATTAGTTGAATGGCACATAATTCCAAACAATTTGTCTAGAATTGATCTGAATCATCTCCTTTCTAAGAGGAGACAAGTTTCCTATCTGAAAAACTCAAGTTCCTGCCAGTTTCAAGAAACACAGCAGCGTATGTAGAAGCCGCGCGGACGCTGAGGGAGTTAGACGGCTGACTTTATGTGCTGGCGTTCAGATGCCTGACTTCTTACGGTGTGGGTTCGAATCCCGGATGGGGCTCAACCCAGCATAACTACCAGGATCTGTACTTTACTGAGAAAGTGTAATCCCAAATATAACATATTTGACAACTTTCTAAATGGCATTGTGTTTGACAGTGGAAGTTGTGGTCCATACTTTTTGTACAGATTCTGTTTTCCCTATTTCTACTTAAATCAAATTTGAATGTGTCTGTGTTCTTTGGAAAGAACACCTGGTGTGCTAACTTTTCTTTTTATTTTAATTCATTAAACTCTGCTTGTTATATTGTCATTATCATACAATGTACTGTGTTACCTTTAAGCACCTAGTTCTAATGTTTATGGGCAAGTTTTTCATGAATAATATTATTGATTATGTTATCGAATTTAACAGTATTTTCGATCATTCTATCCAACATGGTCACAGTACTGACAAACATGGTCACCGTTCTGACGAACACGGTCACAGTAATTGATAAACACGGTCACAGTACTGATAAACATGGTCACAGTACTGACAAACACGGCCTAGGTTCTGACAAACACGATCACAGTACTGACAAACATGGTCTCGGTACAGACCATACTGTCCAAAATGGGCTTCATGTTGACCCACAATGACATTGTAATTGATCCACGGTTTGGGTGTCTACTTGTTGTAATTTGTAATATTTTACATGTTTATGCATATAATTTTATAATGAGAAAATGTATTCAGATGAGAAGCATGGACATGGTACTGACAATTGTAAGCACATCACTAACCAACATGGGCGGGTACTGAGAACATAACCACCATTGAACCGATGAACATGGACAGATTGTGTGTTTGTGTGTTTACTTTTATGTTTTACATATGTTTATGCATATAATGTTGTAATGAGATAATGTTTTTGAGATGAGAAGCACGACATGGTACTTGACAATAGCGAGCACGGCACGAATCAACATGGGCGGGTACTGACAAACATGACTACCATTGTACGAATGAACATGGACAGATTGTGTGTTATTTTTTGTATCTTACATATGTTTCTGCATGTAATGAGATAATGTATTCATATGAGAAGCGCGGTCGGGGTACTGACAATCATGAGCATGGCACTAACCAACATGACCATGGTAACTATGAACATGGACAGATACTGACGTTCATAAGGCAGTGTATGAATTAAGGCCCGTCCGACAGCCTTGATTTCCTTCTATGGCATCAAGCGATGTCATACAGAAAAAGGCAGCATAACTCTGTTATGTAAAAGTTGCCTCTTACAAAACCAGCAGGTTATATGGGACACATTCTAACTCAGAAGCCTCATGATGCATTATCTTACCTTACACATAAATGTTGCTTTCTGACTGGCTGAGCGCTCTTTTCTATTATTTTCAATGTAATTCCCGCTTACAAGCGAGGTACATTTCAATGTACCCCGCTGTCAATGGCAACTCATTCTGTACCTCGCGGTAGTAATTCTTTATCTCGAAAAACATTGAATCACGTATGATGTATGGAAATTACCGATGTTTTGCGAATGCAAATCGATGGAAGGGAGATAACTCTCAATCTGTTTTTCTTGCCAGCAAAATCTAGCGATGGCTACAAATAGATTTGTACCTGTGCTTCAAACAATTCAAAATTAACATTAAGGTGTTCGGTAAGATAAATACGTTGTTCATTGGTCCCTTGGGGCGCATGGGAACATAAACAAACATCGAGGGTACATCAACCCATACCCCCTCGTGACCAGTGAACAACTTATATGATACAGAGTGTCCTTGTGATGAACACACAGAAAGGAAGATTCCTCACCTGCTACGAGAACGGCTCCAACACAAAACAAGGACACTCGCACCAGCCCATTCCTGTGACAGATGAATTCAGTGATTCCGCTATCATAGAGAAGTTTTGAACAAAATTTAACTGGCAGATATGATGAAAATTGCAGAATTTGCTTTTTCTTAATAAGCAACCCTTAATTTTAATTGTTTTTATAATAAAATAAATCCAAAAAATACTTAATATGAGATTCCAACATTAATCCTTCAGTAAAACAAAACTAGACTAAATCATTCTAAATTTAACACATTCCAGTGGCATTTATTACATGTATTACATAAACTATGCTTTACATCGAACCAAAAAATAAACATAAAACATATACCAACTTGAATAGCATGGCTCTATCACTGCATTGTCAATGACATAACACAACAGACAATGTCTGGAGTTACCTCCCCTTCTCCTCCTTGGTGATGGTGACCTGTATCGACTGCTTCTACTTGACCTCCGTGGTCCGAAGGACCGGTCATCAGGACACAATCTCGGGCCCAGTGTCCTGGACGGTGGCAGCGGTAGCACTCATCATATCCCTGGCAAGGAATCAACAAAATAACTTTATTTCTCATTTAAAAACAGGGAATGTAAAACATGTATTTTGTTTCATGTCAGTGAGTACAGGATTTTAATTTCTTAAACCATTGGTCGAATAAGAACATTTCAATGTTTTTCGATGTTCTCTTTGCAAACAACAGAAAGAGTTGGCAGGAAGATATTATGTTAATCCTGAGTACCAGAGTACAGTAGCTCACCATATGCAGTTGTACACAACTGAGGATGTGCTGAACTGACACATGCTAACTAAACACCCACAACAGCTCAGAAATATAGCTGCACACAACTACTGTAGTGATAAAGGTGAGGAGTGACTTTAGTTTCACGCTGCACTCAGGAATATTCCAGCTGTATGGTGGCGATCTGTAAATAATTGAGTCTGAACCAGACAATCCAGTGATCAACACTATGAGCATCGATCTACACAATTGAGATACGATGACATGTGTCAACTAAGTCAGAGAGAGCCTGACCACCCGATCCCGTTAGACGCCTCTAGTGATAAGCTCTAAGTTACTGAAGATCAATTCGATCCCGGATGTTCATTGATGTATTGATAAAATGACCAAGAGATGCCATCACTTTCAGGAATCATTTAAAACTGGTTTGATTGAATGGAGCCGGCATTATCTCTGTCAAACACACCATAATTTGAGTTTCCAAAGAGACATAATAAGACCACATATATAGCGCTAAACTCCACGCTGCACGTCGCATATTCTAAACACATACAGCATAATGGACATTATTAGCCCAGATAACCCAAGCTGCCTGTGAGGCGCTAGAAGGTTAAAAAGTCACATAACTTATACCACCGGGTACCCATTTTCTGCTTGTTGAACGGGTTTCTAACGGGTATTTCAAGTCAAATCAAATTAGACATTTTGTATAGCGCTACATATCCAGAGTCCTACCTATGTGCGCTTAGTCGAATGCTCGTTTGAAGAGGATGGTTTTGCGACAAGATCGGAAACTGTTGATATTTTCCGTTTTCTGACATTTTCAGGTAATCAATTCCAGAGTACAGCACTCGGTCTGCTAAATGATCTGTCTCCGTATGTTGTGGTTCGACAAATGGAATAGCCTATTTGACTAGCAAATGAAATGCATCACAAATTAAACTTCAGGAAACAAAATATGCAAGAAACATTTTGTATGTTTGAGATCGGTAGAGGTCGGCCAGAATAAAACTGCACAAAAAGGCAAATTTAAACTACAATCGCTTGTTCAAAATGACTCCCCTTCGGTTTACTGAAAGAACTCGAGAAAGAAATGATGGATTTTGTTCAAATTTGGCACCAAGGTTTATTGACGAGATTTCCTTACTGACACCACTTTGAATTTAGTGACCTTGGAGGTCATTTTAAAGGTCACAGCGAAGGTGTAACATTTTGCACATGCCAAGCCTGGTAGCCGCGAACTTAGGAAAGAATTAATAGATTTTGATCCAATTTTATATCAAGGTGTATTGGCGGGAATACCCCTACACCAATTGAAACAAAATATGCAAAACATGTTGTATGTTGGTAAAAGTCAAAAAATAGATATTAAACTGCACAAAAGGCAATTTTAAACTATAATCGCTTGTTCAAGTGACTCTCCCTTCATGTTTACTGAAAGGGCTTGTTTCGAGACAGTACTCCACCCCTTTCAGTTGACGTCATCATAAAGATATAACTAATCCTAAAGTTTTCACTTATTCATACATGGTGTCAAGGGTTCAAACTAAATACTGAATGGTCACACAAGTGTCAGCTCCCAATATGTTGTATATCTGGGCACAATGATTTTGAAAATTTGAAATAAGGGTGTCCTAAAAACCAGTCCCCGTCTAAATGTAAATCAAGCAGTCCAAATCTTTGAATGTTGATGATGACGGAAGTCATCCAATACTATGCTGAACATATTTTTATATGATACTATCTGAGGGTATACCATTATCCAAAGAGATAACGCAATAGTGCAGTTGTAAGGCGTCCTGCCTATCACGCTGAAGGCCCTGTTTCGAGGAGGCACCGAGGTTCGGTTCCCGAGATGGGCATTACATTTGCGTAGTATCCTTGGACATGATACTTAGATCTACACTGTCTCAGTTCACCCAGCTGTAAAATGGGTACCCGTGAGTATGTGCTGGCAATGTGAGTGTTTAGTTCATTGCACCTAACATGCAGCATGGCTGTACAGTCCCCAGGAGTTGAAAAGTATCGAAACTACGATAGTGTCCTATGATCGGGGATAGTAATGTACGTAGTGCCGCTTTGCAGGCAATGTGCCTGGATGTGGGAGCGCCATATAAGCGGACTATTACTATTACTAGATACCAAATGGGAGATCGTTTTCCATTTTCTGCAAATTTGGTAAGAAACATAATACCCCAATGTTGTGATGACTAATATCTCGTTAATCACACTACCCACATGAAATTTTGATATGACTTTGCTAATGATTCCTTCAAAATAAAATGGAAGCTTTTTCAAACATTGGACATCGAGAATATAGTTAGTTTGACTACTTTTTCAACGCCCATCGTAACATACTTAAAAGAAATGAGAACGTCTAAGGAAAAAGCATTTCGATCTCTGAATACTTCTGAGCTATTTAAATACAAAAAGCAAAGGAATAAAGTAAATAATCTGAAAAGAATAGCCAAGGGAAACTTTTATTCTAATTTTGATAACTATTTATCACCTCAGTCTACTCAATCAGGTGGTTAGTACTTCATCGGGGCCCACTCCCCTTCTTGTCACTGATGATTCTGGGATACCTTCAGTTTTTACAGATTTGGATAAAGCTCAAACATTAAATGAATATTTTGTATCTGTTTCAAATGTTACTGAAGGCGACAAGACTTTGCCACCTGTTAGCCATCGCTGTGTTAACAGTATAACAAATGTCATTAACACGTCACAATTTAATTCTGGACTCACAAAAGTCCAGAAACTCTCCCCACTGTTGGTACTTTCTGACAAGTGATTTGACCAAACTAAACCAGTTGTTATGAATATATGCCAAGGATGAAAATATGAAATTTTCTTTTTGCGAAAATGAATGAGTGTATGTTTATAAGTACCATGACACAAATTTCAGCTCATTTTGACTTAATTCGACTAAGTTAGAACGATATTAAAAACTCTCGACCATCAAATTATATATTCTGGGAGACATGAAATGAAAAATAGTGAATTTTTTTTTTTCGCAATGTTGCATTGCTGTAAAAACCCGTCGGAGAAGTCCTTCTCAAAAGATATATATTCCGTTGTTTGGAGCAGGCCTATATGACTATTACGCCTCAGTGCTGCTAAACAACTCGTAGACCTTTAGTCTGACATAGACGCAGACCTTGCATGTTCAAGTTCACATCTGATAGGAGCTGAAAAATTGAATCCGACATGAATGCAATATCTCATTGGGTTATTGTTTTCCCTAGTAAGTGGAGTGTCTTCTACAACATTGGAGACAAGTGTATCGCTGTCCTTCTGACATTCCCCGAACGGAAGCTCTACCCATTTTAGGTACAATGTGCATGTTACATAATAGTAGGGAATAGTCTTAAGACGTTTCAACTTTGACCAGGATTCTCCGAACTTGTAACAGTCGTTTGAGAGATCAAAAGAGAAAGGGGTAGTGCGCGATGTATCTGACGGACGTATGTGGAGAACGTTTGAAGAATGTTAGTGTATAAATACAATAATTGAAATACCAGTTATGTTTAAAAAGTACCCTCAATCTGATATCCAGAGAGATTATTGTGAAAGATCGCAGTATTTATCTTCATAAACGGGCCAAGATAAAAGTACATGCCATTCATCCCCATATTATATCCCTTCTATATACAAGGGACATCGTTGTTACAGTTAGGGCAAACACTTTCTTCTATAGGTATCTGCCGGTTTCACGTTACATACATGTATTCAGATTATTGAGAAAAACTAGCGACGCAAGATCTCCTCCGTCACACATATAATTGTTATTAACATGGGAGAAAAGCACAATGTTTTAACATATGTTATGACAGTATACGTTATTGAAATACAGAAATGTTACAGACTAACTGACCACGTTTCACAATCTGCAAGCCGCCAAGGGTCACAATGATAACGAACGTCCGAGACCAGTATCTTGTATGTGTTGGCAGATAGAGATAGGCTAATCAAATTCACTGTGAACTTCAATCATCAACACCGACGTTTATCAAAATCATTAGACAACCCTGCCAAGATAGAGTTCTTAAATGCGCAGTAGGCACCTTATCGTCAGTCGAGTTAGGCAATAGGATTAAGATACAGCAACTGAAGTTCACAACAACAACTTTATCGTCATCTTTATCAGTAAATGGATTATCTATGATAACTGGAATAGGTATAAAACAGGGACGACACACAGTCACAAATCATCCTGTGACTGCTGTGTATTAAACTCCTTGTTTATTTTACTCAGGTAAGAAACTTTACTTTCTTCTACTTTGACAAATCTTTACCATTGCTATTCTATATTAACTGTAATCTACTGTAGATACCTTAACTATATGTTCGACCCTCGGCGAAACCGTTAGGTCTATGTGGAACGTGGCGTCGTTTAATATATCTCACAATTACTCTGTATTACTGTTTAGGATTGTTTATTTGATAATGATTAGCTCTAAGTTGTCTTGTGGCTATGGTAGATTTTAAAGAGTGTGTCAGGTATCCTAACTATTGCATTACGCGCAAACACGATGTTGTTTAGCGACTGTTGTAGAATGTACATTGTATTGTAAGTATGGGGTGATGTCTGGATTGTATAGAGTGTGTACCTAACAAGTACATTGCGTTAGGAGCAATATGCTGTTTTGTGCTGTATGAACGCGATATGCTTTATTACATGTCTCATATCTTCTGTATTACAGTTTAGGATTGTGTATTTCATACTGATCTTTGACACTACACTGTTATGTGACTATTATAGAATTTATAGAGTGTGTCGGATATTTTAACTGTTGTATTACGTTGTGAGTACTATGCTGTCTTGTGACTGCCACATAATGTAGATTGTGTGAACGCCCACTGGGGTGATGTGTAGAATATTGAACTATTGTTTGTGTACATTGGAATATGTTTCGTGATGAATGTAGTATGTGTCGTAATGTAACGAATCTACATGTACTTTGATATCTGATTGCATTGTGAACATGTTCTAATAATTAATTATAAAAATATTCCATTCTATTATTGACTGATTATGAAAATCATCCTGTGACTGCTGTGTATTAAACTCCTTGTTTATTTTACTCAGGTGTTGTGTTGTGTGTGGTCTGGTTGGTATAGTCAGACCTCTTGCCAAGCGAGCTAATTCCCCAACTCGCGTTTTAACAAGTGGCGGAGAATCAAAAATCGGCCTATGGCTACATACCAACCCACAAATTACAACACCAGAGTCGGACACAGCCACAGCCACAGCCGACCTCCGACCTTGTCACAGAATCCAGCGGCCTTGACGAACTACTGGAGGACCTTACAACATTAGCTTCGGGCCCAAACACTGACAGCGTTAATCCTCCCGTAACTATCAACGGAGACGGTATTGCGTCGGCCCCAAACACAGACGGTGGTATTCATCAAGCAGTGCCGCATCACACTCAGTCCCCAATATGGCATACGTGAGTAATCTGGTGCCAAAATTCAATGGCACCGGCAACGCCCGACAATGGCTGAAGAAGATGGATTGTCTTAGACAGCACCAATCACTGAGTGATTCCGTCTACTTGAACCTCCTGCCATTGTATTTAGATGGACCCGCTGCTACTTGGCTGGACTCGCTTCATCCAGCCCCAACAACCGCAGCCCAATTCGAAGCCGTCTTTACTCGTAGGTTCACGGATGTCACCTCACAGACGGCTTTCCTGTCCGCCCGCCAAAATAACACCGAGTCCGGGCCTGCCTTCATTGAACGCGTCCAGGAGAAGACAGTCGGCCTCCAGATCCCCGAGACCCTCCTTGTTCAGGTCATCATCAATGGCCTGCAGCCTCCTTTAAAGGGATTGGTTATTCCCCATGGTCCACAGTCACTGGAGGCACTGTCACATCAGGTGAGACTGGCTGAAGCAACTCTTCAAGCCACCCAGGGCGCCACTCCATCCATCTCATCTGTGACGTCAACTGGGGTTGACAACAGTCAACTGGCCACCATCGCTGCTCTGTTGACAACACAACAGCAGCAACTTGACAAGTTGACTGCTCAGATGGCCCACGTTCCCCAGAGGCAGAATGTCAACAGATATGTCAGCCGGGACCCGCCTCACCAACCTAGGGTCAACACTCGTCGTTTTGCACAACCACTGCAGCAACAACAACGGCAACAACAACCGCGGAGCAGCTACAGACAACCTTCAGGTAATTGCCAGGGTTGTGGTAACAATTGTCGGTCTAGATTTTTATGTCCATCTTCAAATCAGCAATGTAGTTATTGTCATGGGTTACATCACTTTGCTAGGGTATGTCGCATAAGACTGAATCAGCAATAGGGATTCGCGCCTGTTGGTAGGCCCTTGCCTACGAGCAGGCACGCCTTGAGAGCCCCTAGGCATAAGAATAAATCTTCTTTCAGCAGGCATACCAGTACCCCCCAAATCCTCTAGTATATCCCATCAGTCACAGATTAAGAATACAGTGTATGTAAAGGTTGGTGATGTTCGCTGTCATGCCTTAGTAGACACAGGTGCCACCTTGTCTGTTCTATCTCTTCCAACTTTAAAAAGGGCAGGTATTCCCCTGTCCCAGATGCAGGACAGTACGCTCTCACATGTTAGCGGTGTTGGGGGAGAGCACATTCAGGTACTTGGGTCAGTTAGGATTTCCCCTCTCCATTGGTGGCATGACAATCGACCACAACTTTCTAGTACTCAAATCAGTGCAACATTCAATCATCCTAGGGCAAGATTTCCTCACTCAAAATGAAGCTATCATAGACTATACAACACATACTCTTGCCCTCCATCACGGTTTAGTCATGGTACCTCTCCAAATCACTGGCTCAGGACTTGTACGTACATGTGCACCTGTCACTATACCTCCTAACATGCAAGTCACCATTCCCGTTAAGTTGAGTAACCACAAAGGTCAGTCATGTGCCTTTCTATTCGAACCAGTCCCTCAATTGACCACATGCAAATTAGCAGGTGCTAAGTGTCTTGTACAGTCAAAAAAGGGTAGGGCATGTTTTACCCTTTTGAACCCAACTAGCGAACCAGTTGTCCTACCCTCCCGCAAGGTCATAGCAGTTGCTCACCCTGTCGATGTGGCCTTCATACACCCCTTGGAGGACAGATCCACTCCTACATCTCAAGGTAAGCCTTCAAACCTAAATTTTGATCTCAGCAAGGCAGATCTAAATGATACTCAGAAATCAGACTTATCTAGACTTCTTAAAGCCAACAGGGATGTGTTTGCTGCTGACAAAACTGAACTTGGCATTACTAACCTATATTCACATAGGATAGATACAGTACCTGGCTCCAAATCTGTTCATCTGCCGTTCTATCGGAAGAGCCCTGAAGGCAAGGCAGAGACTGATCGACAGACCAAGGAACTTCTTGACCTTGGGTTCATTGAACCCTCCATGTCCCCATGGCAGAGTCCGGTGGTCTTAGTCAAGAAGAAATCGGGTGAGTTCCGTTTTGCCATAGATTACAGATCATTGAATAAGATTACCGTTCCGGCTTCCTATCCTTTGCCTCGTCTGGAAGATGCATTTGATGCTATTGGTGATTCCCATGCTCAAATATTTTCCACGCTTGATTTGGCATCAGGGTTCTGGCAAATTCCTATGGATTCGGAAACAGCTCACAAGGCATCCTTTGTCACGCAGAGTGGCCTATATACATGGCGTGTTATGCCTTTTGGGCTACAATGCAATGCTCCACATTTCAGATGGTCATGGCTAGAGCCCTGCAAGGCTTGACATGGAAACATGTCCTGGTATATGTGGATGATATTTTGATTTACAGCAAGACGTTTGAAGAGCATCTTTCCCATTTACAAGCAGTTTTCGATCGCTTGAGATCAGCTAATCTGAAACTGAAGCCAGATAAATGCAACTTTGCTCGTTCTGAAGTTCTCTACCTTGGCCACATCCTCTCCAAAAAGGGTATCAGAACTGATCCATCCAAAACTGAAGCTATTCGTACTTTCCCCCCTCCTAAAAACATCCATCACCTTCGCAGCTTTCTTGGATTGTGCAATTACTATAGAAAATTTCTCAAGGGTTATTCCAAACTAGCAGCACCACTAAATGCCCTTTTACAGAAAGATACCCCCTTTCACTGGTCGGACACTTGCCAAACTGCATTTGAACAAATGAAACAAAGTCTTGTTCAGGCTCCTGTCTTGGCCTACCCTGATATGCAGAAACCATTTATCCTCACCACAGATGCATCAGGATCAGCAATCGGCTATGTTTTAGGCCAGTTAGATGACCAGGGTAGGGAACGAGCAATTGCATATGGGGGAAGATCTCTAAATTCATATGAGAAGAAATGGACTGTCAGTGAACAGGAGTGTCTAGCAGTGGTAGAAGCAGTCAAGTGCAACCGCATTTATCTCACGAGTAAACCCTTCAAAATCATTACAGACCATAAGGCCCTAGTCTGGTTGCAGAGCATCAAGCACACTACCAGTCGTCTCCATAGATGGGCTCTTGAACTGCAAGAGTACACCTATGACATTGTTCACAGGCCTGGGAGAGTGAACACCAATGCTGATGCACTATCTAGGAGAACCTACCCTCCTATACAGACCATGGATGTCAATGACAACCACGACACAAAACCTGAATCCCTCGAAATTCAGTTTTTCTATGATACCCCATCCCCATCTATCTCGGCTGTGGATACCATTATGGAGACAACCTCCACTCCCTCTTCTCCTGATCTTGAAAATATTGGAGAAATGCAACGGCAGTGCCCTGATTTCAAAGGCATTGTAAATTTCCTCGAAGATGGTTCTTTACCACAAGATATGAACCAGAGGAAAAGGATTCAAAACACTGCTCATGAGTATGACATGTTAGATGGGGTACTTTACCATTTCTACCAGCCTCGTACTCGCAAGATGGAAGCAGCTGATAAGCTCATTCGTCAGTTAGCCCTTCCCAAGAGCCTCCGTAGGGATGCTCTTCTCTCATACCATGATTCTCAAGCAGGTGGTGGTCACCTTGGTGCTGACAGAGTGTATGGGGCTCTCAGACTCAAGTACTATTGGTCTGGGATGTATCAGTACGTTCATGATTACATCAAGTCATGTCATAAATGTCAAGTCTCCAAAGTTTCACGGCATCCTAACAGAGCACCTCTCCATCCACTGCCCATCACTGAGACATTTGAGCGGTATCACATTGACTTCCTTGGACCATTGACGGAGACACCTGAAGGCTACAAACACATCCTTCTGGTGGTAGATTCCTACAGCCGTTGGTCGGAGGCATTCCCTCTCAAATCCCAGGAAGCCACAGAAGTGGCACGTGTTTTATATCAGGAGATATTCTGTCGTTATGGTGCTCCAAGGGCCATTGTCTCTGACCAAGGTCGTAACTTCACGTCTAAACTTGTTAGTGCTCTATGTGAAATCTTCCAGGTAACACGTCATCTTACAAGTAGCTACCATCCAATGACGAATTCCGCCTGTGAGCGGACAAACAGTACCATCCTTCAGTCCCTTCGCACATATTGTGACACTGATCACTCAAACTGGCCTAGTTTGATTCCAGGGATAATGATGGCATTCCGCATGACACCAAAGGTACAGTCTACAGGATTCTCTCCATTTCACATGCTTTTTTGGCAAGGAAATGCATGTTCCCTTTGACACAGCAATATTACCAAAGACTTCGTTAGGTAAAAATGCAGTGGAACATGTCTCACGGGTATTGGATAACCTGAGAATTGCTAACACAGTGGCTACAGAAAACTTGAAGATAGTCCAGGAGAAAATGAAACAACGTTATGACTCCAAGGCTAAAGGGTGTACTTATGATGAAGGTGACCTCGTCTGGATGACCAATCCAGTCACGGTTAAGAAACGGTCACCCAAACTCGAACCAAAGTACAAAGGCCCTTATCTTATCAGCAGTAAGTGTTCAAACGACACTTATCAGCTGCGAAATAGAGAAACATTGAAAGAGCTGCCATCACGCACTCATGCCAACAGGTTGAAACCATTTTATGAGACAAACCCTGCCCAGAATCGACCTGGTACACAGGTAGCTGTGGACACGGATAAACAGCAGGATGTCTTGGAAGAGGACACTGCTCCTTCCCAATTAGAAGACAGACCTACCTTCTCTCAAACCACCAATGATAATTTTGAGAAACAGGTATCAAAGGTAGGTGACGATTCCCAGGGTAGCCCTGAAGATGTCATAACCCCGTCACAATCAGGGGAACACTCGGAAACCAATCAGTCACTCTCACAGACCACAGACGTTGTTTGTGAACAACAGTCACCCAAGGTAAGTGACCAGTACTATCCAGTTGAAAAGCTATTGCGTCAACGCATGCAACAGGGCAAACGTTACTATTTAGTCAAGTGGGTTGGTTACTCAGAACCCTCATGGGAACCCTCTGAACATGTTACTGAAGAATCCAAGCGCATCTTTCATGAACGCTTCACCATGAAAGGTAAGAGACGGAAACGCCCCTACACATATCTCCAGATAAAGTAAATACCAGGGATTAGAGATGTGTCTTCATACCTAAATTCATTGATGTCAACACCATCTAGATCATGCATAGTTATCAAGTGCTAGAAATTGTCTGCAGCAATTTCACCCAAACCCTATATGCTGTTCTATTTGGTGTACACATTAAGTAACTCAAAATGTCTTGTGTTTTGTTTTAGGAAAGAGGCACATCTCTAACATCCTCTGTATCCTGATAGTCGTCATTTTCCAACCATTGCTTGCTTCACCACTAGCCCTTGAAGACTCAGTACTTCGTGTAAATTATGGCATTGCCTTCACACCATCGAAGGACACTACAGATTTCAGGTGATTTCTGGCTCCACTCTTTTGAGATTCCTCTACCTGAAACGAATCTTCCCGTCTTTGCATTCCATTGCTTGACAAATGAAACTAGATGTCATTATGTTCATCATGTTTTCACACCTATGTTTTCCTTTAAATCGCAGTTCTCACATTATCTGAACAATACCCGTGCTCAAATTTATGATCTTATCCAAGAAACACCTATCCTACCATCCCGTTCAAGACGAGCAATCTTTGGGTTTGTAGGATCCTTTGCAAGGTCCCTTTTTGGTACAGCAACAATAGGTGATGTACAAACACTCGGACGCCATATGGTCTCTCTCAGTAAACAAACCTCTGCAATGGCCAAGGCATTTAAGCAACATGAAAATGACCTCTCATCTTATATGCAATTAGAAAATGATCGTTTTTCAAATGTCCTAAATGGGGTCAAATCAAACCATGACGCCATTCTGGTATTGGAGAAAGATTTGTTGAAATCACAGTCAAATATGAGAAATTACTATCTGCGCATGCTACGTCTTTTAGCTCGCCAGATTGCCCATACTACGACCCTTGAACATCAGTTGGATCAACTCCTTCAGGCCACCAAAGAACTCGTAAATGGTAAACTTTCACCCTATCTTGTTCCATACCAAGTGCTTGGGCATACCCTGAGGCGAATCCAGCATACCTTGAACAAACAATATCCTCGTTTTCATGTGGCTAATACAGTCATCAACTCTTACTATAGAGAAGGTAATTTCCTCGTTGCCAGGGATGGTTTGAAACTATATGTTACTGTAAAGATTCCTCTGACAGCATTCTCATCTCCCCTGTCCATCTATAAGGTGAAATCATTCCCTGTTCCAATAAATAGAACATCTTCTCACGCCTCCCAAATTTTAGACCTACCTGATTATTTTATCAAGACTGATACCAGTGATTATTTCACCACCATGTCTACTGCTGACTTAGCAGTTTGCTCAATCGGTAACACGTTAACTTGCCCCCTTCAACCTAGCATTTCATACAAAGTCCTCCATGTCCTGCGTTTCTGCCCTATATTTCAATCACAAATCACATGTTAGCAAACTATGCGACTTCAGGTTCAGAATAAACCACCTTGTTCCACAACTTCAGGAACTAACACCAGCTTCAGTACTTGTTTATGAATCAGATGTACTTGCTGTTGATTGTCATGCTCATCAAAGAATGATTCAGGGATGTAAGTTTTGCATGCTCTCTGTCCCTGTAGATGTTCCCTTTCTTCTAAGGATTTGTATTTACCTCCACGTTTGGCATCATGCTCATGTTCAAAGAACGGTTTCCGTTCAACATCCAGTGAATCTTGCACTCATCCAGGCCTTTTTCAATGACACACAATATGCATCTATCAGTGGTGATACTACATTCCGGGAACCTATCAATATCGACGTGCCTCCCTTTCACTTATTCAATCATTCTTTGACTTCTGTTATAAGTCAAGATAAGAAAGACCATCTGAGTTTATCCCGACTGGTACAAAGGGCCAAGAATAGAAAAATTGCCTTTACCAATTTAGCTGAACCTATCCTTGATGGTTCAGCTATCCCTGTTGCTTCGTGGCCCAACCTTAACTCCATACTGGCACTTATTGCCTTAACCTTGGCATGCGCATCTACTCTTGCTTTTGTATACACCTTCCAGAGAATACGCACAATCTCCACCCTGCTCATACTGCTCCAGACCAGTAGGGTCAAGGCAGACGTTCAAGTTCCTCAATTCAAATATAACATTCCCACGACTACTCCCTTCAACCCTTTATCGGCATTACAGTCAATCGAATTTACCTTAGACCACGCCATGGTTACTGTACTTACAATTCAGTCGGTCTTCATTGTTTCCCTTTTATTGTGCTTCACTCTCAGGATGTTTCGTCAAAATTATCAACAGTCTTGTACTATCGTATTGGAAATAACAAATGGTCCCAAATGCTTTCTTATACCAATTGCCAAACTTACTAAATGTATAACGCAGTACAACATAGAGGCCCCAGTTAACATCACCAATCTTCAGATAATAGGTTGGATTCGACCGAGACTATATGTCGATATGCCAGGGCTTACGATCAAAGATGTTTCTCTAGGTAAGGCAGTCACGTTACCTTCTTCATTTCTACTGCCATTCAGAACGGCCTGCTGTTTGCACCCAATTTTAAAGGGGCCATTCTGTGCGTATATATTAATTAATCATCATGGGTACATGCTACCAGTTGTCTCTGTGAAACGTGCAGGGACACTGCCAGCTATTTCTATTTACCCATCTCTTGTTGTGTAAATATGCATAGTGCATTTTGTTCATACAAATTTCGGGACGAAATTTTAACAGAATAGGGGGATACTATTAACATGGGAGAAAAGCACAATGTTTTAACATATGTTATGACAGTATACGTTATTGAAATACAGAAATGTTACAGACTAACTGACCACGTTTCACAATCTGCAAGCCGCCAAGGGTCACAATGATAACGAACGTCCGAGACCAGTATCTTGTATGTGTTGGCAGATAGAGATAGGCTAATCAAATTCACTGTGAACTTCAATCATCAACACCGACGTTTATCAAAATCATTAGACAACCCTGCCAAGATAGAGTTCTTAAATGCGCAGTAGGCACCTTATCGTCAGTCGAGTTAGGCAATAGGATTAAGATACAGCAACTGAAGTTCACAACAACAACTTTATCGTCATCTTTATCAGTAAATGGATTATCTATGATAACTGGAATAGGTATAAAACAGGGACGACACACAGTCACAAATCATCCTGTGACTGCTGTGTATTAAACTCCTTGTTTATTTTACTCAGGTAAGAAACTTTACTTTCTTCTACTTTGACAAATCTTTACCATTGCTATTCTATATTAACTGTAATCTACTGTAGATACCTTAACTATATGTTCGACCCTCGGCGAAACCGTTAGGTCTATGTGGAACGTGGCGTCGTTTAATATATCTCACAATTACTCTGTATTACTGTTTAGGATTGTTTATTTGATAATGATTAGCTCTAAGTTGTCGTGTGGCTATGGTAGATTTTAAAGAGTGTGTCAGGTATCCTAACTATTGCATTACGCGCAAACACGATGTTGTTTAGCGACTGTTGTAGAATGTACATTGTATTGTAAGTATGGGGTGATGTCTGGATTGTATAGAGTGTGTACCTAACGAGTACATTGCGTTAGGAGCAATATGCTGTTTTGTGCTGTATGAACGCGATATGCTTTATTACATGTCTCATATCTTCTGTATTACAGTTTAGGATTGTGTATTTCATACTGATCTTTGACACTACACTGTTATGTGACTATTATAGAATTTATAGAGTGTGTCGGATATTTTAACTGTTGTATTACGTTGTGAGTACTATGCTGTCTTGTGACTGCCACATAATGTAGATTGTGTGAACGCCCACTGGGGTGATGTGTAGAATATTGAACTATTGTTGTGTACATTGGAATATGTTTCGTGATGAATGTAGTATGTGTCGTGTGTAACGAATCTACATGTACTTTGATATCTGATTGCATTGTGAACATGTTCTAATAATTAATTGTAAACCATTCTATTATTGACTGATTATGAAAATCATCCTGTGACTGCTGTGTATTAAACTCCTTGTTTATTTTACTCAGGTGTTGTGTTGTGTGTGGGTTGGTATAGTCAGACCTCTTGCCAAGCGAGCTAATTCCCCAACTCGCGTTTTAACAGAACTGTCAATGTACTGCCTGCTGCAATACTAGTTGCTCTTTGAACACATAGCATGTGGAAGTTTATAATAACGCTTAGTCTGAATATATACTTTCAGATAAAAGCAAACAGTTTCTTTTAGATTTACAGGGAGACCAAGTGAGATATGTTATTCAAAGCCTGAACTTGGGAGGCAATCTAGATTTGCTTCATTTAGAGCTTTCGAGTTTTGGGAAAGAGATGCATGGGCGGACGGGAAAATAATGTGTTTTGGGAACAGTGTGATTGAAATGTTTAACACATAGTTGGAACATGTCTGCCATGGGTTAGCGACAAATTACATGGTATATATGTATTAATTGTATAATGCAACATTTGTAAATCCCAATTGTGACGGTATTGTTACGCCATTCTTTATATTCATGCACTTAAGGGTACAATATTCTCCATGTTAAATCGGCCTGTAAGACGTCTCAAAATTCTGAACACATTAGAACATTTCATGAATATTCACATTCACGCTCCGGTAAATGATCCGTTCGATATAAGTCTGTTATCTTCAAAATCCAGGGGTAGCCTAGTGGTTAAAGCGGTCGCTCGTCACGCCAAAACCCGGGTTCGATTCCCCACATGGGTACAGTGTGTGAAGCCCATTTCTGGTGTCCCCCGCCGTGATATTGCTGGAATATTGCCAAACACGGCGTAAAATTAAATTCACTCACTCAAAATCCAGGGGGTTCTGGACTCAACAAAGTAGGGTGGTGGATGCAAATATAATCTTGGTATTTGACACTCAGATACAACGTTTATGATAATCACCGTGTACATACAAAATCATTCCTATAGGGTTTTTTCTCGACACTTTCCCAGCAATTTTACCTCATACCGCACCCCTTTACGACCAATGAACGAGTGCCATGCTTTTGCGATGTGTTTTTTGACATGTGCTTTTGCGATTTGTGTTAAGTAATAGTCGGGATTCAAATGTGATCCAACGAGAATCAGGGGGGAAAATTAGGTGGTATTTGTATGGAATCCTAGAAGGGACATTGTTGCGTTTTCGCCTGATAAATACAAGCAAAAAGTGGTAAATCTACCAAAGTGCGAAAAGCGACATTTTGGCCGTTTGTAGTACTGTCGGTATGTAGCATTGTTGTGCTTTGAATAGTATTGTTTTATTCTTCAAAATGGCGACAATGACACAGTTTCCAACGTCGGAATATGTCGATTTGTTGGATCTTTGCCCTTTGAATAGTAAAAATAAATATTATTTAAAACGCGACAAATGGCCAAAAAAGTCTCATTGTCGGGCTTTGGTTAAATTTGACGCTTTTTGTCTGTTTTTTAAAAGGACGACAACGTCCCTTCTAGGATTCCATATATTTGGGATACTGGGTGGGAGTGGAACATCCATCTACACAGCCAAGTTTTACTTGTAACATCATGGAATGGAGGCGTGGCTACGTAAATCCAAATATTCGCTTTAGAGAGTCCTGGCATGCATCCTCGATAATCCCCAGGGTATACGTTACGATCACTCTCCACTATACCCTGGATGCATCCACGGCTTGGCCCGATGATTTTGTTACCTCCCTTGGCTGGCTTTTTATCCAATCAGTTGTCTACGCTGGGAAGTTAAGCGAACCAATCACAAATCACTTTCGCTTCTTAAATTATCTAACCGTTTAAACTTGGCAACACAATTGATGCAGAGGTACTCTGAAAGAGATAGAAGGCGTTCTTTTATATATTTTTTGAAAGTTTCAGATCTGTCAATGTTGATATTGGCAAGCTCGGATGTAACGGCGGCTTAGCTGATTGGCTGCTGTGAGAATGCGGAGCCAGCAAAGGGAGGTAATATAATTATCGGGCTAAGCCGTGGATACATCCAGGGTATAGTGGAGTGTGATCGTAACGTATAACCTGGAGATTATCGAGGATGCCTGGCATGAAGTCTTCTCTCAAATACAGGAAGGATTAAATATTGTCACGTGGTATGCAAATTGCCTTGCGGCAGGGATGCTAGTCTAAGTCGTCACTGATCCCAAATGTGATTTGCATAAAACAGGGAGCTTGTCTTTTTATACAAGCTGTTTTGACTTTATTGTCCATAATTATTTTGACATGTTCGCCTTGAATACATCCTGCTTCGCAGAGAGAGATTTTCCTCATTTTTTGCATTATTGTATTTTTTGTTGATTATTCGCGATTTGATGACATCCTTTATTTATGGGATATTTTCTAATGAAATGGACGTTTGATATTGGACTGACATGTGATGAAATTCTCAATAAAACATTTTTTTTTCTTTTTTGGTTTGGTTCTCAGATTGTTTACTGTTGTAATACCGCGTATCACTGGTCACATATGTTATTGTTTTCTTATCGTAGTTGATCACAAATCATGAATTAATATTTATTTTACTTTTTTAATTAGTCTTTAAATATTTTCATGTAAATATTTTTTTTACAAACACCATCTCTATCTGTAGCAATGCCTGACAGTGTGTTACGCACACAAGGCTTACAGGCGACGAATTCTGGGTGTCTCTCTGAATACATCTAACTTAACAACTGCAGTGGCGGATCCAGAAAAGAAGGGGAGGGGAGTTCGAACCCCACCCTTTGAAAATGACTAAAGACCACATTGAAGTTAATGTTTTGCAATGGCAGAGCCACGGTGGGGTTGAGGGGGTTGAACCTGAACCCCCTCCTTTGTAAATTTCTGGATCCGCCTATGAACTGAGTTAAATATACAACTGGGTTAAATATACAATTTAATTCTTTCCAACGGTAGCTTATTATTTGCTAACTCAGACGAAACAATACTTTGACCAAAATGACAGTTACAGAGTTATTTTAATGGTGTGTAAGTCTGTTATCCATGTGGAATAAAAATGTTCAAGAAAAAACATTCACGTTAGTGAATAATCCTTCGTTTAATAATCACCCCCAGAAAACGAGCGATTACATTTTATCATATAATTTGTTTTTTCAGATGCTCTTATAGTAATAGTGTGTGAAATGGTCCAAACAAGACTCCAAATATCCATGGAACAGTGTTCACCCTACACATTTTTGCTTGAATGGTTTCAAAACCAGACGCATGGATTCAATTCAAACGTAAAATCCTTGTGATTTTGACAAAAGCAGATACAAATTAACCTCCGTGCCACTGTTACAATGTTTATGCTTGTGAGGGTGTCGACTCAATTAGCCGGCTACTCCACTGACTTGAAAGATAACTCGTGTTTGTGAAGCACCCACCCTCTTCAGATCAGTACCCCCGGGCGTGGTTAAGCGCGACATCCGGCTCCACCTCCTCTCTCCCCTGCCCCGACCCCCACTATCTCATCCCCCTCCCCACTTCCATCTTCCCCTCCACTCATGCAGCGTTATCGGATGCTGTTACTTTGTAATGTACCATTTTATTAACCTGCACTGTTTACACACTCACAAAATCGTAGTAAGTTTTCGTGTCAAATTTTTACTAATTGAAATATTACAACAAGCAACAATCCATAAAATATTTTAATCCATCATATTTCATTTCCGCAACTTTATTTTAGTTTACTAGTATATAATTTAAAAAAAAATATTTTATTGACAGATATTCCCAATCATTTACGAATGTGCCGCATTCAGTACTTGGAGGTATTTTTTGGTCGGGACAAGATGACGTACAATTTGAACCCTTGGATCAATCAGAGAGAAAAAAATCTATTATATATCATACTATCTCTCACATAGATATGTTAGTGCGGATGTCAGTATTGAGGCGTAAACACGAAGTTCGACTCTAGTTATCCCGCCGTCAGATTGTATCGATAATATTGGCAGGTCGGTATTGCATAATCATATTTCGTCGATGTCGCCTTAATTAAGTGTCAGATTTTCCATATTGTCTTGACTCTTAAGGGCTACTGCTTCCTTTACAGAATCCCATGGCAGCCATATCGCCCCCACCGCCACACCCCCAACTGTCACACACATTGGTCAAGCCACGTGGCTCAGCTTGACCTTCGCCACCATGATGCGATGTAAGGAGCTGTCTCGTTAACGCTAACAAAACAGCGACATGAGCTCAACACAGCGCCTGTAGTCTTGACGAGTGTCATGTATTGTTCCGTGAAATGGCTGTGACGTGTTCACAATAGAGGTGAAGGTTAACGCCTTGTTCCCGTCGACCCCTGAGGACGTAACGGTACTATTGTGGGGATCTTAGTTACCGATATGAGCGCCTAGATACGATGCAAAGTATGATACTTTAGATAATGTCAAAATATGTTTTACCAGTCCAAACCCCTATGCAAATTACATCGTTTAATGAGTATGTATGTGCTGTAAAAAGAACATATTTTGAAATGGGCAGAGTCGAATTTCTATAATGTTCCATTTGTCGCTAGTTTTGTTGCGCGGCGTTTGGTGAAGACAGCAGCGTTAACCACCACTGACAAGGCAAATTCAAGGACGTCGCCGATGAATTTAAATACCTTTGTCTGCCCTCTCTTCAAACATCATCGTAAAACCTATATCCCAAACCATAATGTTGAAAAATGATCAAAGTGTTGCTGTTAAAAGTTAACGATTTGTATAACGGTAAACGAATTAGTGTTTTGAAAAAGCTATATATATATTGTAATACCGGTACCATCACGAAAACTGTACAATGCTCCATGTGAACCATGTACACTTAACTGTACAGTCGAACCCCGTTTATCTGGACATTTGGTACTGTCAGAATTCGTCCGGATAGCGAGGCGTCCGGTTACCTGGATCAAACAAGCAAAACGTCTTGACGATGTATGCTGAAAATGTATTCACGTATGTACGTGTATATCAATAAATCAAGGGAGGAAGGAAGTGTACAGTGACGTTGGTCAGTCGAACGTTTGGGTGCAGTCACACGACGTTTGCGTTTATAGCAGGCTGACTTGCCATTATGCCCAATACCTGTGTACAGACATATATTTGTACCTCTAATGCCGAGTATCCTGGCCTAAGTTCTGTTCTGCCAGTTACACTAAAAAAACAACATCTTAATTAGCCAACACTGCTAAACCAACGAAATATTTCATAATTAATCAGGAAACAAACAGTGTATAATGCCGTTTAAAAACATCACACAATGTTTTTTTCAAATTGAGTTTGGCTATCCACCGAGTTTTTTTCTGACCCATATTTACATACGATCTTTTAAGTGGACGTTGTGCGAGAATTGTGTTCGCGCGGCACAGAATCTACCTGTAAAAATCCACCTGTATATTACACAGATATGTAGAATGTTAAATGTCCTATCCAAAGCTGTAAATTCAATTACAAATACCGAGGCGTTTGGAAAGTTAGACATTGTTTATTGGAGAAGTTTTAGAATTATCATTGGTGAAGATTTCATGAAATTTGACGATTTGATGACTGACTGAGTTTAGTTTTACGCCGCTTTTAGCAATATTCCAGCAATATCACGGCGGGGGACACCAGAAATGGGCTTAACACATTGTGCCCATGTGGGGAATCGAACCCGGGTCTTTGGCGTGACGAGCCAACGACGATTTGATGAAAAACAGATATTCAGTGATGACTAAGATGCTATTTTGGAAATTCCATCCTCCAAGTAATATCCAATTTTTACATTTTAAAATATACACCGCATCGTGATGATTACAAAGTGTGTGTTATCCTAATTTCCGCGATTCTGATTGACTGAGGAGAAGTCAAAATTGAATGTTATTTTTCAATAACTTCAGAAAATCGATGAGTAACGGATTATATGCAATTTGTGACTGTTATCCTTTGATAAATACACAAGAAACGTACAACAATCCTTAAATGTGTCAAAATGGCGACATTTACGAGGTTATTTTCAGTACTTTTGCTTTGCACAAGATGACATCAAGCAGCTGGACTTTTCAAAACAATTCAAATCTGTAAAGTGTATTTGTGTGCGTGATATATTTAGAATTGTATGTACTACCCATCAAAAGTTTAGACTCACTTAAAGCATTCACTATATGTTATGTATATGTATGTGGTTACATCGAAGATGAATTTCTCCACTAACTTGGGGGAACCAACTGCAAACCTTATGAATTGCACGAGGACCCATGCATCAAATTTGCTGAAAAGCATGTGCAAATATCGTGCATGCGAACAGCTGCGCTTTTGGTGTAAAGTTCTCTTAAGAATTCGCCAATTTTCACTGAGTTTTATCATTTATTGAACTCATGACAATAATCTTTTCAAACTTACGAATTTGTTTTACAATACATCAGTTCATGTGTAAACAGTACCTTTAAACAGTATGGAATAGTTTGCAAAATCTAGTTTAGAACAGTTGACTGAAGTAAGTGGCTATATTTACACTAGTGACTCTAAACTTTTGATGTGTAGCATACTCCAAAGTGACGGTTGAATAGCAGGGACATATATGTCGCTCTGGCATCCCGGGGGTTAACGTCGCTCGGAACAGGAGATCAGTCATACAGCATTGGAGAGGACAGAACCACGAAGTGATGTGCACGTATGTCAGGAAATAATCCAGCAAGAAACTTAAGGAAACATCAAGTTCTTTTCTTTACCCAAGACATTACTTAAACACGAATCATTACTAAGTATTTTACCGAAGTTGGGCGTTAAAGTTATTCTCCCTTAAAATAAGTCCCGAGGAACACGGGTCCGAGTTCGATTTGATATTCATGGATTGTGTCGGAAAGCGGCGTAATCTCGATGGTACAAGCAGAAGACCATGTTAGGAAAAACAAGTCCATGTGAGAAAGCCTTAAAGCAATACGTTATGTGAATGACACTAGAGATTATGTGATACCGTTGGGTTCCTTTACAGTTGTTAGGTGTGTGGTTTCGATATTGTAACAATGAATGAAAATATCCATAACCGTTTTATGGGAAATCTCCTCTCAAAGTTTCGTAAATATACATTATGAGGTCAGCATTTGATTGAAGTTGTTATGGTAACATCGCCATAGGGAAAATTGCATTGCCTCAAAATCATATGGAGTTGAAAAAATATTCGTTCTGGCTTTTCTTTAATCAAAATAGAAGTATATCTAATGCACGGAGTCCACTTGCACAAAGATAACGGCTGTCGCATGACTTTTAGTCAGTAATATCTCCCATGCCTCGAGAAGACGAGCTTTGTGCTGGCGTGAGTGAGTATGGTTCTCTTTCAACAATATTCCAGCAATTTTACGACAGGTGACACCAGAAATGGGTTTCACACATTGTAGCCATGTTGGGGATCGAACCGGGGTCTTAGGCGTGACGAGGCTGTAACCACAATGCTATCCCTTCCTTTGTGCCAGGGAGCCTTGATGGTCAAGGATGCAGTTCCCACTATAGTCTGTTTGCAGTGAAAACGTACCGATGAATTTCACTTTAAGCAAAACAGTAAATCAAATAAAGCGAAATTAAGACTGCGAATCCTCATAAATTTGCCTTGCCAACTGAACATTTAAATCTCAGAATTTTATTCATTGTAGGACAAAAGTTGTTTAACAAACGATCATACATTCAAATCGCTATTATTGATTTGTATTACAAGGGGGTGAGCGCAGTAGATGGAACAGTGAAACAAATGCACGTGCGGTTCGTGATGAGCGGTAACTTAGACAAACTCTACTTGTTCTCGGTGTTTCATTTAATGTGCATACACCCTTTTAATACAAACTAATAATAGCGATTTGAAACTATGATCGTTTGTTAAACAACTTTTATCCTAAGTTGAATAAAATTCTGAGATTTAAATGTTCAGTTGGCAAGGTAAAATTATGAGGATTCGCAATCTTAATTTCATCTTATTCGATTTACTTTTTTTGTTTAAATTGACATTCATCGGTACGTTTCCACTGCAAACAGACTAAGCGCGATGTTATGACAACCATCTCCACAAACGTGAAGGTCCGGGTTAGAATTGATCTTCAGCAACCAATGCTTGTCGTAAGAGGAGACTAACGGGATCGGGTGGTCAGGTTCGCTGATTTGGTTGACACATGTCATCGTATCTCAATTACGTAGATCGATGCTCATGCTGTTGGTCACTGGATTGTCTGGTCCAGACTCGATTATTTACAGACCGCCGTCATATAGCTGGAAAAATTGCTGAGTGCGACGTTAAGCTGCAAGCGAACAAACGGACAAGCAATCAGTTTGGTGACACACTGTCATCACCCAACCTCTTCGTCTCTTTTTATTTTGTTCAATATCTTTTTTTTTCTGGAAACAAAACTTTAAAACACAGTTTGTTAAACAGAGAAACACGAGCAAACAGTTCCTTGGTTTAACACCGTGAGTCAGAACGTTGGAGGGTAGGATCTTTCTAAGTACTTGATGACAGTACACACAACACGTAGGTTTCCTTGTTATTCCACGCAAATGCTTCCAACAGATTTTCTGGCGCGTGCCATAAAGAAAATTTCCTGTCAAATTTCGGCTGACCAGATAATCTCAATACCAAGGTGACGCCGTGCCAGCGCGAGCGAAGCGCGTGCATAACTCAGAACGAGGCGCATCCGTGGTCCCTCAGCGGTTTGTCCCACCCCAGGGTCCCCACGCCCCACCGTTTGGTAAGAGGATTTGGCTGAAAAGTGTTGTAACAAAATGGGGGCCAATTGTCCTCGTGTTTAGGAACACTAGTAGACACCTTGGGGCGAGCGATAAAGACCTTTTCATACACGGAACATCTTGAGCGGACAGAGGGGATCTGAAAGCCGACGGGCAGAGATTGGCGGAGTAATTAGCATCCAGTTGGTATTGACATGTTGTGATTGGGGAAAAGTGCATCTGTATATAAAGCAGACTCGGGGTTCTTGATCAATTGCAAGGAATATTGGTTTGTTGACAGTTAAGTCCATTACAGGACTCAACAGATTTGTGAAGACAGATTAGTACGAGTCAGCTGATAGTCAAACGAATCCTCCGTCGTCCGGACATAGAAACTGACTTTTCTTCTGAACTATATCAATTTTTGACATTTCTACCTGCATATTTAAACAATTCATTTTCGTATGCCTCAGTGGTAAACCAGCTTGAACTATTTCATATTCCGAGGCTGACATAGTTGTACGGGGAAATATGATGGCCCAGCCGTGTTCGTTTTACGCGCAACCCGAGATGAACACCATGGACGGCGAGGACAACTACAACAACTACAGCTACGACGATGGTTACGCTCAGTACCACAACGACACCCCCGACTACCCATCATGTGCATATGCCGGGCGTGACCCCCGGGACATGGGGAGGGGGATACGATGATGAGAATATGTGTCTGTCCAGGGGCCCGGGGTTAGCCCCGGATTCACCCCCCTTCCAGAGATACGCGGCCAATGTGAGAGAACGAAAACGTATGCTGAATATTAACTCTGCCTTTGAAGAGCTCAGACTTCACGTTCCGACATTTCCTTTCGAGAAGCGCTTGTCCAAGATTGACACCCTCCGGCTCGCCATTGCCTACATAGCGCTACTCAGAGATATACTGATGTCACGTGCGGACCCCCTGGAATTTGTCGAGAACAGTCTAAGACAGGGGACGGAGGGACAGAACGAAGCAATATGGAACACAAGCGGTAAATAACAATATATATATTTTTATGAATTATTTTAAATATGTTTTAACACATAATTCAAATGTCAGTTTTAAGGCACCTTATTTTATAACTTAATAATTAAAATTTAGTAAACTTCGTATATAATGTAGTGCAGTGTTACACCTAGGGGTAATGGAGTAGCTAGGTGGCTGAAGCATTTAGCTCTTTAGGCTTAAACACACGGGTTCAAATTCCATAATGACTTCAATGTGTAGTACCCGTTAAATTACTGATATGATATTGTTGAAATGCTACTAAAAGCGTAAAATCGTACTCATTTTGTATTTGTTTGCTATATGAATAAATGTAAATAAAACTTACTATCCTGCCACTGTCAGTTGCAGTAGCATATCTATACTAATTTTCCGGGCAAAGGAAAGTACGCACCCACGTTTAAAGGCGTCTAATAGTTTAGCAAACAAAAATTTTATTTGATGGTGAAGTATTTCATACCGTGAAGGTCCAGGTTAGAATATTGATCTTCAGTAACCCATGCTTGTCGTAAGAGGCGACTAACGGGATCGGGTGGTCAGGCCCGCTAACTTGGTTGGCACATGTCATCGGTTCCCAATTGCGCAGATAGATGCAAATGCTGTTGATCACTGGATTGTCTGGTCCAGACTCGATTATTTACAGACCGTCGCCATAAAGCTGGAATATTGCTGAGTGCGGCGTAAAACTAAACTCACTCACTCATACAAGTATCATGTTTGTTTTTGGGACCCTCAGTTTGCAGTGGTTGAACGACTGTTTTCAGTCTTCGTACATAGGTTTGTAATTTTATCGTGTCAAATCCAATTTTCAAATGTTGAGTTTCATTCGCCCGGCAATTAATAATGATTTCAAAATCTACTGTCACTTAAAATTTTATATCTATACTGGTTTGAAAATGCAGTAAAACATAAAATTGCATAACTCTATATTCCATGAGACAATTTTCCGTTGTGATTTGCTTCTGCATTAAACTGTCAATCTTATTAATTTATTGTTTATATTAACATTAAACATTTCAGTAATGAGTTATCTCTACTAATGATCCTTGGGCATATCAAATGTCAACTCTGTAAAGAAATATTCAAAATATATTCATGCTCTTTAAGACACGTTTGTATAAATGCTGACACGGCAGTTGTTTATCAGAGTTCCAAGCAAATCAGAATCTACAATTGTTGTTGTCGGCATCCCCCGTGAGTTCACTGACCTCTGGGCAGGGAAGACAAACCATGTGTTATTATTTTTTCTGACAGTGAAATATATTTCAATAATATATATTTCAAATGGTAAAATTACAGTATATGCTCTAGCTTTTCAGCCTCCATTTTCCTTAAAACGCGAACATGTTCTCTTAAAATAATTTTTCACTATTTTACCCAAATATTTCAACAGAATCGAATAAAGAAATCAGATTTCAACACACCCACAAAAGTACAATTTCTTGTTTGAACATATTTTATAAAGTGTTGAAAGGGATTGGGCACAAGTTATGTAACTTATTACCGCCCGCTCCCATAAGAAACATGAACAATAATGAATGGATGTAATAATATTAAGAAATATTATTCATTAATCGAAGCGCTTACTTCGTACAATGTATTTATGCACATGTCTAAAGATATTTTCATTTATGGTATTTAGCAGAGCAGGGTTGCCGTAAAGAATGGTATCAATGTCTAAGTGAACCTATGATAGTTTAAAGTCTTGCTTCAGATCAAAACGGCAGCGGGCAAATTTTGGCATTTTAAAAAGAAATGGTTAGCATCTTCCACCGGAGCACCACAATCGCAAGCTCTACTCTCTGATAAACTAACACGAAACAGATCTGCATGCAATGAACTACACGAATGTCTTAACTTCGTGCGTAGTATATCGGTCTTTCTTTCACCAAAAAGAAAATATTTTGAAACTTTGTCATTTTTTACAGATAACTTTGATTTAAACGATGATAAAATTTCCGATTTTATCATCAGTCTGAATTTCTGAGAAATACAATTTCTGATTCGGCTGTTGAGATTTAAAAACATTAGTCAACTTCTTGTATAATCCTAATCTCACGTTCAGGAATGCATCTCAAACACAATTGTACAATCGCTTGGTTTCCTATTAAAATCTACTCTAATATATTTTTGTGCAAACAAATATTAAATATGCAAGTTAACTTGGTAAAAGGGTGTTATTAAGTGAGAGGGATATGGTAGAACTACATATGGAAAAACAACGTGGTATCATTTTGTTGCATAAATCTGTTTGTAATGCGGTACTTTATCGTCTTTCTCGAATGATTATAAACAAGTAAAATTAACTCATAATAGGGAAACAGCAAAAACCGTTTTCTTGTTTATCTTCGACTAAATATCAAGTTAAAAAATAACGAAGGGTTTTCTCCTGCCCCAGAAGACTTGTATCGAATATATCACTACGTCCTGCACTTTATTGTTGTTCAACATGCATATATACATATAGGCAGTGGAATACTTTTCGGTAGTTTTGAAATGGTAATCTGTAGATATGTGTTTTGTTTAATTTTGTAAGACATTCAACAGTTTCTTTAAAGTTATAATTTTCAGTCAGTTATCGCTGAAATTGAAAGTACAAATATTTGAAATTCTATATCACAATTAAAATGGCCAGTTGTTTTTTACTAACTTTTCAGTATGAATATTCTGTAGAAATTCCATGTATTTTACACACTCGCTGTACATAATGCATATACTGTACATGTTAATGTTAAGATATTCCAAGAAGGGAATATTTAAATTTAAAAGCAACAGTGTTTTCATGACTTAGGTTTCGGCACCTGCCGATGCACTATTGCTTGAATGTGCAATACAAATTAATATCTTGGGAATAGTGTTTTTTATGTGTTAACAGATATGTTTACATAAAGTACATAGGAAGAGCAAGGTGATCTTACATTTCTTATCTTCGACAACCGACATTTAATTTTCACTTTAAAAAAAATATGAAAATACGATCACTCAAAAACGTTAACAAGATTTTCGACCACGAATACTTCGATATTTATACTTTGCATTGAACATGGAAATTGAAAAGGACGCCCACTCCTGTTTAGATAACGATGTTACATAAAGATGATTGTATGGTTTAATACGGTTTAGTGTTGCTCTTCAGGTGAGGTGAGGTGAAATTTGGTTTTACGTCGTGCTTGAGAATATTTCGCTCATATGACGACGTGCATGCGTGTGTATGTGTATGTGCGGCTGCTTGTACTAGCCCAGACTTAAGCTGGTTTTATAGTGCTAGCCCACTGAGATACCATGCCACAGTGAAGCATGAATACCCCACTCAGACACATTATACTGACCCCGAGCCGACCAGTCCTTGTTGTACCCATTAATGCCGAGCGCCAGGCAGGGACCAACAAGTACCATATTTTAACGTCTTTTGGTATGACGCGGTCGGGGATCGAACCCGCGACCTTCCGCTCTCCAGGCGGACGCTCTAACCACTACACCACGGAGGCGGTTCCAACTCCTGTTTAGATAAGGATGTTACATAAAGATGATTGTATGGTTTAATACGGTTTAGTGTTGTTCTTCAGATTACAATGAACACATTAACAATGGCCCGAGCTGATTGTTTTGGGAAAACCTAAATCACCGGCCATATAGTTTATCTGTTATTCAATATTCAGTTTGAATGTTATAGCATGTTTGGTTTGGTTATTATTGGCGTTTTTGTTTCTTGTTTAATACTGGACACGAAACTGTTCCACTTATATATGATCAAATATGAATTAATAAACTTACCATAAACAAAAGACCTGTACACTCAAATGATGACGACATCTGTAGTAAGATAAATATTAATTTCTGACACATTTTTGAAAATGTATGTCACATGGACATTTACAAGCTGGTATGTTGAAGAGAAACAGTTACTTTGGGGATAGACAACTTCTTTAATAAAAGAATAAATAAATGCATATTTATAATGCGCCCCTTCCACACCCTAAGGCATGCTCAAAGCGCTACAGAATATTTACACTGGAGTATTTACGGATGAAGTTATACATAATATACTGAGAAAAGGTGGGATTTAAGTCTGGACTTAAAAATGTCAATTGTGTCAGAGCATTTAAGGGCACATGGGAGAGACGTTTATTGTGACGTTTGTTGTGTCGTTTATTGTAAATTTACTAATTAACATGCGGTCACATAGCTGGAACATTTTCCTGTATTATGATGTAAATAAGACTGTATAATGTGCTACAATTTTGTAACAACGGGTATATTTCTGTAAATATATCTTGGTTACACGTGTATATTAAATACAAAAAGATATTTACTGACAAAGAAGTTCCATTTCCCAATTAAATCCAAGAGGGAAAATGAGAGAGGGAAAAATATTTTATTACTTGATCATGATTTTCACACAATGCATGTATGTCTTAAGTAACATGTTATAAGGCTACTGAAATAATCAATTATTATTCTCATGAGAATCACACATGTCAAAGTGACACGGGAATGTCTTGAATATATCACTGATGAAGTACATGAAACACATGACAAGCTTAAGATAGTCTGACTGACTGACTGACTGACTGAGTTTAGTTTTACGTCGCTTTTAGCAATGTTCCAGCAATATCACGGCGGGGGACACCAGAAATGGGCTTCACACATTGTGCCCATGTGGGGAATCGAACCCGGGTCTTCGGCGTGACGAGCCAACGCTTTAACCACTAGGCTACCCCACCGCCCCGCTTAAGATAGTAAGAATGTTAGCAGGTATATCTAGTTCGTGTCTAAACATTACATAACATTATTTTAAATTTAGAAAATAAAGTTCAGTACTTTTAATTGTCGGGGACATAAATGTTGTTCATATATTATTGAATTGACGATGGCGATAAATAATATTAGCGATAGAAATATACTGCTCCTATATTCTCGAAGGCGTTATATTTGAGAATGAAATTTGTATCTTGTAGCAGGTAAATTGAAACAATGGTCAGATTCTACAAGAAACTTCTTATTTTTGTTCTAAATGCACATGAGGGATGTGAAATAATTTTGAGGACATAAATATATTTTGAGGGAAGGACAATAATTTATTGTTCAAGAAAGAATAGTAACTTCGACATCTCCTAGAGCTTGTCCCTAAACACATGTTCCGTGATTGGAATGAGTTATCTTCTATTGTTATATATAGGAGATTTGATGAAAGCCATGACTGACTGACTGAGTTTAGTTTTACGCCGCTTTTAGCAATATTCCAGCAACATCACGGCGGGGGACACCAGAAATGGGCTTCACACAATGTTACCATGTGGGGAATTGAACCCGGGTCTTCGGCGTGACGAGCCAAGGCTTTAACCACTAGGCTACCCGGCCCGATGAAAGCCATGAGGTGTACGCAGCATGAATGAGTAAATGTTAACGTCAGAACTCTCCACTAAAATGAGAAACGAGCTCGAGAGCTATGGACGGATGAAAAAGGATGTTTTCACCATCAACGAAACTTTAAATATTATATGGACATAATGTGTAATGTGCTAAAAACTGATAAGAATGTTTTGTATGTGTATGTAACATGTCTGTTTCAAATACAAAATACCATAATGTGTTATAACAAATATAATAGCTTTTGTAACAAAATAATAAAAAAATAATGAAAAAAAACCCAAACACAACTTAGTAAAATATACAAGCGTATGAACGTCAAATGTTCTATATCGTGTTATATATACAAAATATCTATATCGATCGATATACGTATGAAATACGCAGCACTTGTATTAGGTAAAAATGTTAACATTGGCGGCATCGGATCTGAAAAATTCATTGCCCGGGAATAAAAAGCATACACTGGAAAACTGGATTTGGCCCAAGAATGACAAACATTATCAAAATGTTAGTTGGCTGAAAACAGTCACCGAAAAAACAGCAGATTTGGTTCCAAAACACAAATACAGCGCCATCAAACAACCATTCCTCGGTTGCTTCATTTTTAGCCACAATTTAACATGGGATGTATTTTCCCATTTGTTTATATTGTATATTAACGGGCTGATTTGTATAGAAATTGATACATGTAACACTCTTAGGCCTTCGAATACTTGGTCTGTATATTTATGTGAAGAGCTGTATTGTCGATAGTCAAAATATAAATGGAAAAAATGCTCTGCTAATCGTTAGCAGTTGATGATGTGAAAGAAATCAAATCTAAGTGTTGTTTTTATTGAAAATCAATGTCTCGCTCAGTCTTTCCTATTATGACCATCTTTTCAATTGAACGAAGAGCCAACAAAAACATATATTCATATTTTATATTGGATACATCATTTGTGAAATGTTGGCTGATATGTAAAACCGCCGTAAAACCAACTAACTAAATAAAATAAAAAATTCTGCATTAAAATTATTATAAAATTTCATATCTAGTTTATTGTTTCATTGATTTTAAGAAGCACTTTAGCGTACTATAACTAATAATAAATAAGAACACAGATTTTGTCTCCTGTTCTTATTTCTTCACGTAACATTCCTTACCAGTCTAAAGACCAGTCTCTAAATATATGTATGTACAATTTTGACAGAAAAAAATAATTCCTGTAAATTGAAAAAGAGCTCAAATGGGATGGGAGATTCAAAACCTGAACCTGAGGAAATCTAGACTTGCTTCATTTAATCTTTAACACTCGGAAACAAGGGGCTTGGCGGAAGGGAAAATAATAAGGTACAGGGACTGTGAGACAGAACACATTGACATACCCACTTTGTTTGAGGGAGGCGTTCATGTTAAAACTGCGCCATGGTATTTCACTGTGCTTGAGAGCCGCTGTTAACATGGAACATCTTACAAGCGACGTTAACACCCAAATAGAAATCCGTGATATTATAATGCAATTGTAAAAGGTTATATGATACTTTATTACCTTACTAAATGGAATATGTCTCTCTCCAGATCTCACAGCGCGGCTGTCGTGGGTGAAGTGGGAAAGCCTGGGGGTGCGGCGGCGGCCCTTCCTGTCGTCCCTCCCCTCAAAAGCCCGAAGCATCCCCGGGGACGACTGATGACTGGATGCCAGGCTACCGTTCTGAGAGGAGGGGATGGGGCGGGGAGACATGACACACAGGACTAAAGTGACCTCCCCAGTGTGACACTCAGCAGAAACATTCTCAGATCACCCTTAAAAGTTGAAATGAACAAAATTCAAATTCAAAATCAAATTGCGTAATTTTTTGTCGCCGTGTCACACAAGGTTGTTATATTTGTTAGTGTGTATTATAGTCTGTTTGCAGTGAAAACGTACCGATGAATTTCACTTTAAACAAAAAAGTAAATCAAATAAATTGAAATTAAGATTGCGAATCCTCATAATTTTACCTTGCCAACTGACCATTTAAATCTCAGAATTTTATTCAACTTAGGATAAAAGTTGTTTAACAAACGATTATAGTTTCAAATCGCTATTATTGGTTTGTATTACAAGGGGGTATGCACATTAAATGAAACACCGAGAACATGTAGGGTTGGTCTAAGTTAACGCCCATCACGAACCGCACGTGCATTTGTGTTACTATTCCAACTACTGCGCTTACCCCCTTGTAATACAAACCAATAATGGCGACTTGAAATTATGATCGTTTGTTAAACAACTTTTATCCTAAGTTATATATACTTCTGAGATTTAAATGTTCAATTGGCAAGGTCAAATTATGAGGATTCGCAATCTTCATCTCACTTTATTTGATTTACGTTTTTGTTTAAAGTGAAATTCATCGGTACGTTTTCACTGCAAACAGACTATAATTTGCTACAACGGTTAACTCCCCCACTTCGTAAAAGCACGATTTGAAGTGGCTATCGCGGTAGAATATTCACAAGGATGGGACAGTCTTGAAAACATTACAGTCTATATCAGTTAACATTACAGTTTGTTTATTAATATTCAGTTATTGCTAACTTTCACCGTGTACAGTTACGTTTTGCTATATAGTAGGCCTACATTGCAATAACTGGTGGCATCAACAACACGTGTGTTGGAACAATCTACATGGAAGAACCACGAAGTTCTTGGTGCCAACACCAGGGAATAATTGTGTCCAAGAACCGTGGATTTTGTGCAACGAGCATAAGTCCTGAAGAGAGTCAGGTACACAAGTGTGGTTCATTCTTGTTCAGCCATATGTGGATGGGATCTCTAAAATCCGGGCCAAGGAAAGTTGAGCCGGGCCGGACCAGTAATACTACAAAATGGATTGCACTCGGATGTGAAATACACTACCTTCTATATATTATCAGTATTTCGTTGACAGGATTCAATC